TCTGTCCTGTTTTCTGAATTAACAGAAGAGGGAACAAGAGGAATGTCGCAGCCTCGGTGAGGAGCTGTGTTCTAGTTTTAGGAAAATAAGATTTTGTACTGTGTCTATAACGGTGTCACTGTGTTAACAACACAAACAAACACACCTGGTTTAAGGAGTGGCCTGCAGGGATCAGAGGTCACAAAGCCCTGAGCGCATCTAAAGACAGTTCAGCTGCACAGAACGTTAGAGCTTCATGTGACGTCTAAAAACGCCTCAGCCCATCAAATGTACTTTGTACGTGAACACAACAATCATCACTTTAACGCAGAGGACTATATATATATATATATGTATATATATACCAATGACAAAAACATAAACTTTCATTTAAATGCAGCGAGTGCCACTAAAACGCTGGGCCGCTCTGTATGAACGATAGTGAAATTGAAATCTTCTTCACAAACCGTCCAGATTTAGGTTGTCAAGATTAAAAAGTGGAAGAAGAGTGAAGACAGACTGAAAGGCCGCGATAATAATCTGTGTAAATATAAGAGCTTAAATCCATGACATGCAAACATACATGATACAGAAACAATTTCATACAGATGTTTCTATAAATATCCTCACATAAAAATACAGTAAACAGAATAACAACAAGACAGGCAGCACTAAAGGGATCGACTGAAAGTGAATCAACAGCAGTATGGATAAAAACACCAATTATTCTCTGGCTGCAGCTTCTCCAATGTGAGGATTAGCTCTTCAATATAATAATAAACTGAATGTTTTTGGCTTTTGGTCTATTAGCCTAACAATGGATCAGTTCATTGTAAATAGTAACAGGCATGAATCAAAAACTACAAGCAGCCCTAATTACAATCTAATATTAACAAAAACAAACGTACAAAAATGGATCATATAAGTAGTATGTAAGTGGTCATAGTAAGTGTTCTCTCAGCTGCTTATTTGCTGTTAAAACATTCAACTTTTAAAGGCAAAAATACAAACTCGTGGATTAAAAACACCGTTAAAACTATTTACATATGTAAATATGCTAACACATACTGTGAGGATACTCGTAAAGTTGTACAGTATAACATGCACATCGGTGCTACATACAACATGTTAAAATTTAAACTGAACAATCAAGCCAAAGACACGGAGAGACTACCGCCAAGCAAGCAGCTCTGTGCTAAATGTGAAAACAAGCGTGAACCTCCGGGTCTGAAAAGTGAGGCGAATGAGGAAGTAAATTTAACCAGTGCAGTTTAAAAATCTTATCAGGCGTCAGCAGTTCATTTTCTCTGGTGAATACATTTTGTTTTATGCCCGTTTTTATTTTCTGGCCAAAATGATTATCCTGGTTAAATGACAGTTAACGTGAATTACGATGCACCTAGCTAAGCAAGCTAGCTAGCGCCACACAGAGCCGTCGGTTCAGTTGCTGGCTTCTGTTACATTAGCATGCTAACATTAGCAGCTGAGGCTGATGGGAAGGTCATCAGTTCTGCAGGTATTTGGTCATGAACCAAAGTGATGGACAAAATGTGACCTGATGATGGCGCTAGGTGCAAAGTCAAGATCATCAAAGGCGTCAGGAGCCGTCCTCTGGGGTCCATGAACGTCTGTATAAACTTTCACGGCACGCTGTCGATAAGTTGATGAGATAATGACCAACACCGCCATCCCTGGAGCTACGCTGCTAACATGCTAACAGCTGTGCAGCACAGAAGATGCTCTAACTGAAGGTGACAGACGGCTGCAGTGACCGCTGGATTTAACCACTGAAGGACGATGGGGAAACTGAGCTGTAGGCCCCGAATGACCACCTGGTAGTGGTACAGTTTAGTTGAACACTTGGAAATTTAGGAGTATCCCGGACAGGTAAAGAGCCCAGGACGAGCCTTTAGCCTTGATTGTTTGATATTGATTTTGTACCAAACCAAAATTAGTTTTAGTCAGACACACTTTGCTCAGCTGGTCATCCAACCCACAAACTCTGTGAGATTCAAAGACTTTCAAGCACCTCTGCCTCTACAAAGACATTTAAAACGTCTCAGGCACTTTAAACTCAGCTCAAACCCGTGCAACACTTCTACTGGAGATCAAAAAAGACATCAAACATGTCAGGCTGAATTTTAGGGAAATGTTTCTCGAATGTTGCAGCAGACAGTTAAAAACATGGAGGCTGTGGTTTGAAAAGCTGGAACAACATGATACACAATAAACTGTACACTGATTTTAACAACCTTAAAGCTACTTACTGTGACGGTGAAGTGAGAACTGTCTTTTTTTAAAGGGTTTAACTTTCTGAAAGTAAATTAAATCAAGTAAAAGTCTGTCGCTCTGCAGGCGAACGCGGAGTTTGAGAACTGCACACTGAACTGAAAGCGGCGTCTTCTCGTTAAAAGCAGTGAAAAGAGGAAGTGATGAAGTCTCTGAAAGTTTGGCCTAAATTTAAAAACAGAGGAAGTAGAGCAGACTGAGCTCAGATCAGGTAAGACACAGCGTGAATAACAACACCCTGCTGCGCAGCACAGAAGAAGCACTGCTCAGAATTTAAAACGTGCAAAAGGAACTTCGTCTCTCCAAAATGATCTTCCTCTGACTGCAGAACTCATCCTAAAGTCAGAAGTTTCATCAAAGTAACATTTAACTTCTGAAAAACTGTTTCCACTTGTCACGGAAGAACTATTACCACAGTACCACAATGTATAAATACTTGGACTGAAGCACAGTTAATAGCAGCCAAACTATGACACAAATACACATAAATATGCATGTCTTAATGATTACATCTTCAACAGAATGTCACTGATTCAAACAACAAGGATCAATCCTTTAAAGGATGTACATGCACCTTTATTCTAGTAATTAAGGCATTTTTATTAATCCTGTGCAGGTTTATAGGCGGGGTCACTGCATTCATCTTTGTCTTTTGTTTAGCAGCTTTTTAAACTGTCCTCACCCCTCATGCACGCTTTAAGTCTGATTTATTATTAATTATTTATAATTAATTATGTGTAAAGCTGCCAGGAACCCAAAATACAAGAAAAATGACACAGACGCCTATAAAGTCTTTAGATAATCGCTCAAAATATTATTTCAGGAGGTGTAAAAGACATTGTTTCATTGTAAAATGTAAGAAACTAAACTATGATTGGGTGATTTTAACTGACTGTTGTGCCATTTCACTGAATGTTATTAATAATTAATCTGATGTGCAGAGAGATGTAATATGATGCTTGTATATGTCTGTATATGTTTGTATAGTGATGTTCTTATAGGTCTGCTGGACCCAAAGATTACCCTTACAATAAAGTGGTATTCTATTCTATTCTATTCTGCTCTATAATAATTAATAACACTCTTAGTGACGTGTGAAGGGGTGTGGCGTCTAAGGTGTTTTAAGGAACAATGCACTGAAACAGAAGAATTGAGAGTTCAAGTTATGGCTGCAACTAAAGACTATTTTCATTCCCAGTCAGTAAGTTTAGTCAATGAAATATCTGAAAGTAGTGAGTACCTGGCTTCACACGGGACTTGAACCTCCACCTCTTTAGTGTGAAACTCTTGAGTTTACTTGACTCATCCATCCACCCCACCACCACCTAACACGGACTTTATCGCTCTTTATACTCCGTCACCTGACTTCTTCTGCCACTAAAAGTTGCGGCCTAACAATAAACTTATTATATGTACATATATGTACATATATTATAAACGCGCCTCTTAATCGACCTATTCGGCAATTCTATTCTGACGTTTAATGTAAAAGAGAGTATTTATTCTGTATAATAACTTCTGCTTGTAGTACTTTTATCTGGTTATCCCTCATTCACTAAGAATTATGTTTTGAGCACAGGACACATAATTGAATAAACATGATTTTGCTTACTTTGAAGAGTCATTCAGATTTTACATGCAACACGAGATACACAATGTTTTGCTGCATCCAACATCAGACAAACGACCCTAATGAAAGTACCACGTCTTACACATATTACACGTATTACACAGATATTCATCTGCTCATGTGTTTTTACTCCAGTAATATCTGAAATGTAGTAGTTTTACTTGTAATGGAGTATTTGATGGCTACTTATTTAAGTAGTAGCCTAATACTTCCGTGTAGTAAATGTCCTGCATTCAAACTACTTTTATTTAAGTTGTGTTACTATGGTTTAGTAAAAGTCATGTATGCAAACTACACTTACTTGAGTAGTAATACCACAGTGTAGTAAAAGTCCTGAATTCAAACTACTCTTACTTGAGTAGTAATACAACAGTGTAGTAAAAGTCCTGCATTCAAACTACTCTTACTTGAGTAGTAATACCACAGTGTAGTAAAAGTCATGTATGCAAACTAGTTTTACTTAAGTACAAATTAAAAAGTGTTAGCATTAAAATGTACTTAAAGTATCCAAAGTAAAAGTACTCATATCATTCTGTTTTTATCATGAATAGATGTAGATGTAAAGTTGTAGTTTCTCAATCTGGAGCCAGTTGCTAAAGTAAAGTACATTTAAAGTACTTCCTTTCCACCACTGTTTGTTGGCACTGATACTGTTATGGTATTGATATTTCCTGAATGTTTCTTCCAGCACTCTGTATATCTTTAAGTGTAAAATGTGTAAATACATTTGGAGCAAGAACCTCTCCAGCTTGGGTAAATGTACGTTGCTGAGTACACACAGTACAAACAGTGTTTTGTCGGTGTCGTCAGATTCAGTCAACGTGATGTTGAAATTATCTGATCTCAGAGCAGAAATAAAAACGCTGACTTCGATTGATATAGGAATAATCTGAATAAAAAGTAAACCCTGAAGCCACATTGTAGTAGTTGTGGTGAGCCTGCGGCAGCAGTCTGCAGGACCTGACATGTCTGATCTGAGACCAGGATCCACCCAGAGACGATTGAAACCCCCCAACTCCTGGTCCACAAACCAACCTCCCTACTATCTCCCAGCCCAGAACTCAATCCAGCCCCCCCCCCCTGCCCCTCCCGCGATCCTCACCTTCAATGATAGCTGATCGATGTCAGCTGATCGATACCGTGTTTTGGCTCGGCGTGTCCGCGGTGGTCCAGGTGTCTCCCTGCGGTCCGCCTCCTCTACATGCTGAGTGAGTGTGAACCCGGAAAACAGCCGCTCTGCGCTCCGTTAACTATAAAAGGAGTGATTTCCTCAGGAGGAACTGAACACGGAGCCAATCAGAGAGCTGCAACCTCACAGTCGGCCGACGGAGGCAACCTGAGCTCCACTGCAACCGAACAGCTGAGACAAAGGGCGATTTCTGCAGCTGAGCTATGGAAGACCATCTCTGCCAAGAACCGAAAAACAAATACCGGATAACAAGTTAGGAAAATAAACTCACAAAAGTCTAAATGTAACTTTGCAAGTCAAAATTAAAAGACAGTTGGCAAAATGCATTTAAAAATAGTTGCAAAAAAATAATAATAATTGACTTGGGCTTCAATTATCATATATGTAGCCCCAAGGGGATCACAGAGAGGATATTTTTGAGGATCACATTTGCATTCCCTCGCAATACTTTCCTATTTTCATTCCTTCTGAGCCATTTCTGTGTCTCAGTATTGATCGACTTATTTTATATTGACTTTAAGCTGCATGAAATATGCCCTATAAAGTACTACTGCTTTATACTTGTAATAACACCTCTGTAACAGATGTATCACTGCTTTAATTAAAACTGTCCTGTAGAATAGAGGTTTTCAAACTTTTTTTTTATGTCAGGGACTGACACAAACTAGACCACGGACCCCCACTCGGTAAGACTTTGTCACGGGGTTCCCCACCTGATAGGATTCATGACGTGCCACAAGATTGAAATTGTGAGGTCAGGTAAAAAGCTGTCTCGCAAGACTCACGCAACTGACGCGTTCATTTTCTCACGCAGTAAAATACTGATAAGACTCGCGGAGCTAATCAACATGTAATTTGTAATACGGTATTGTAACAGTTAGTTGATGTCCACGTAGAGTGACCTAGATTAGTTCGTTATTAGGCATTAACCCTGATAGCCGGTCAGGTAAAGCAATATTTTAGTGGTTTTAGGGAATGTGCTGGTGCAGAAACAAGTCTGGGTTCTTGGTAGCAACATCAGATATATAACATCCCATCATCCAGAACCTTTGTTAGTTCTTTGACGAACCCTTCACCTGTGTTTAGTCAAAAATGGATCTTGGATGGCATCACTCAGAAGAACCGAGCATGGTTCCATTTAGCACCTTGTATTTTTCTGAGTGCACATCAACAACCAGCTGGAGCATCTGATCCAGTACCGCAGCACTCAGACCAAACTCAGCCAGGTAAACACCAAAGTCACACCTGCAGCTCAAACTGATCACTTCCAGCTGATGGACTGGGGCTTTTAGGAATGGGACAAAAAACAGGAAAGAAGAGAATAAAAGTTCAATCAATTATAAATTCAATCATAGATCTATACATTCAGTTGCTTTTACAACAAGTTAACTATTTCAACTTCTTCAACAAATGGACAATGTGCCACTGATATAAGGTCTAGCCATAAAACCATGAAATGAAAATATGATTCTTTACATTTGGTTCCAAGTATTTCCATGTTGTTAAATCAGAACTCAAGCAGACAGAGACATTTTAAATTCCAGCCTCAAATCTCACAATCCCAAATACCCTTTTACAACCTGAGAGCTGATATGAATAATATTTGTTACTTGGAAACTCTTTTCTACAATCCAACGAAGGTTAAAATCAAGGGCAACTGGACTTGGCTGAAGATACTGGAAGACGTTTCAACTGAGCTATTCAGTCAGAACTCAGTCAGAGCTCAGTCAGAACTGAAGAAGTCCTTTGGATGAGGGACGAAACGTCTTCCAGTATCTTCAACCAAGTCCAGTTGCCCTTGATTTTAACCTTCATTGGATAACTATGACCTGGATGACTGAGAATCTTCATAGACATCTTTTCTACAATCTTTCCCATGTGACCTGAATGCAGCATCAGTGATACAGGGTGTGACTCCTGTGAACAAACTGACATAGTGACCACTATTGCCCAATCTCCAAACTGCCCTTCATTTCCAAATAAATAGTTTCCAAGCTCCTTGATTTGATGAAGAACAATGACATTTTTGAAAGATTCCAATCTGGTTTCTGATCACACCACAGCACAGAGACTGCTCTTCTAAAAATTACCAACCCGCTATTGAACGTGGACACTGGCATGTGTTCAATTGCTGTTAGACTTGCCTGCTGCTTTTGACACAATCAACCATGGCTTTAAATAGACTGAGGCGCTAGGTGGGCATCTCTGGCACAGTATTGGACTGGTATTTCTTGTATTTGTCTAACAGGAAGTTCTATGTGTCTGTTAATAAATTTAAGTCTGCTTTATCTCCTGTTCATTCTGATGTGCCCCAAGGATCAATCTTCTGACCTATTTTGTTTTCCATCTACATGGTCCCACTGGGTGACATGATCCACCGATATGGTATTTCCTTCCATTGCTATGCAGACGATACTCAGTTATACCTCCCGGTGAAGCCTACTGACCTCAGTGTGCTGCATTCCCTCCAGGCCTGACCGGCTGATATGAAAGACTGGATGTGAATACATTTTCTTCAACTAAATACCAAATAAACTGAAATCCTTGTAATTGGAGCCCAGCACATAACTAGACATATTACATCCTCTACTGGTTACTTGTCTACGCACATTACGCTTGTTGCCAGAAATCTCGGTGTCCTTTTTGATAGTAATCTTTGCTTCAAACAACACATCACTAAGCTTGTACAGTCGTGCTCCTATCACCTTAGAAATATTGCTAACAAGATAAGATCTATCTTAAAGCCCGAGATGCAGAAACAACTGCAATGTTATTAGCCCAAACTAGGAAGCACGACCGCATCACTTTGATTTTAATCTCTTTACATTGGCTCCCTGTCTGTAGGAAAGATTTTAAGTTTTATTGAATAATTTAAAAGCTCTTAATGAACTGGCTTCAGAATATATCCTTGACCTCTTAACCCCTGACTATCTAGTGCGCAGCCTGAGATTCTCCGGCAGGGGTCTTCTGTGCATCCAAGGCCAGGCTGAATACACGTGGAGATAGAGCCTCTGGGAATCAGGGCCCCAAGGCTCTGAAATGACCTGCCTGATGGTATCAGGATGTCAGATTCAATGCCTCTTTTTAAATCTCGCCTGAAAACGTATTTATTCCAGAAAGCATTCTGATTTTTATCTGACATGCTAGCCCTTTTATTGTTTTAATTTCATTTTAATTTCAGCATTGTATGTCATACATTATTTTTGTCTTTTATTAACTGCAATGATTGTAATGTTTTTATCTTTCTTTGATAGCACTTCGTACTAAGTTTGATAATATCTCACCAAATAAAGTTAGATTGATATTACATCTATTTAAATCTCTCTTCACTGATGCTGTTTGGAGCTGCCAAAGGCTCAGTGAAGTGTTTCCATGTCTTCCTGCAGTGAACATCACCACAGGTCAACTGAAATGTGAAAATTGATTCTCAACACAAGAGGGCGCCTTCATCCTGCTAACCAGGGATGTAGTGGAGGTTAAAGCTCCTCGGCTCACTTTGTCTTTGTTTCCTTAAATATATAGTAAGCTCTCTGTGTGAAGTTCAGGCGGCCATCAGTCACAGCTCCAAGACATTTAAACTGCTGACAGTTTCTACAGGGGATCCAGTGATGGTCAAAGGTAGAATTTAATCAGGGGAGTCTTGTGTTGCTGGATAAGATCAGTTGTTTGGCTTCTTTGCACATGAGAGATGTAACCATATTGCTAAGCTTTCTGGGAATCTGAAAAAAATTTATTTGGCAACCTGTGATGATACATTGGTGTTCAGCAAATGAGCCTTTTAGTGGGTTGAAACAGTTACAATCCGCATTAGACAAACTAATGGTACCAAAATCATTTTTTGGTACAATACGGTGCAGTTCTGCAGCTACCAGAATTACTGTGTTTCTGCTGTTACTCTACGTCATTAAACCACGCTCATGCTGCACAATCATGCGCAGTGGATGCTGGTGCCAACAGGAAGTAGCTGCATAAGTATTATACGACCAAAACTGGCTTCACTGCTCTCCATTGAAACCCGCGCTGTGGCATCGTCCAGTAATATACTGTCTATGGTTTAAATCCAGAGCTGCTCCTCTTGAAAGAGATGCAGCTTCATAATTAAAACCCCTCCCTCTTCTTCTTGCTCGCAATCACAGCGAGCTCCACTCTGTCCATATATTTCCTTGTTCCCTTGTTCCCTCCCCTTCAGATCTACAGTTTGAAGATGGGTGTGACCAACATGTGGTGAAGTGCCTGTGCTGACAGACCCCATTCACTGCAGAAACACATGCTGTTCAGATCAGAGCTCGAACTACTTTCACTTCTGAGAAAGTGAAACTCAGACAGTCTTTGCCACTGAGAGATGAAATGGCGCAGAAAGGAGTTCAGCTGGACCGAGAAACCTTCTCTTGTTCCATCTGTCTGGATCTACTGAAGGATCCGGTGACTATTCCCTGTGGACACAGCTACTGCATGAACTGTATTAAAACCCACTGGGATGAAGAGGATGAGAAGAAAATCCACAGCTGCCCTCAGTGCAGGCAGACCTTTAGACCGAGGCCTGTCCTGTTGAAAAACACCACGTTAGCAGTTTTAGTGGAGGAACTGAAGAAGTCTGGACTCCAAGCTGCTCCTGCTGATCACTGCTATGCTGGACCTGAAGATGTGGCCTGTGATGTCTGCACTGGGGGAAAACTGAAAGCCCTCAAGTCCTGTCTGGTCTGTCTGGCCTCTTACTGTGAGAAACACCTTCAGCCTCATTATGAATCACCTACATTTAAAAAACACAAGCTGGTGGAGCCCTCCGAGAAGCTCCAGGAGAACATCTGCTCTCGTCATGATGAGGTGATGAAGATGTTCTGCCGTACTGATCAGCAGTGTATCTGTTATCTCTGCCTGTGGATGAACATAAAGGCCACGACACAGTCTCAGCTGCAGCAGAAAGGACCGAGAGGCAGAGAGAGCTCGAGGTGAGTCGCCAAAACATCCAGCAGAGAATCCAGGACAGAGAGAAAGATGTGAAGGTGCTTCAGCAGGAGGTGGAGGCTATCAATGGCTCTGCTGATAAAGCAGTGGAGGACAGTGAGAAGA